TTGTTTTTCTGTTGAAAATTAGTTTGTCTGCTTGCTCAGCTTCTATCTTCAATCTTGAAGATGTAGGCAGTATGTTTCTCTGAAACTACACAGTGTCACATCCCAGAAGACAGTCTCTGCCATAACAGCCTAAATCCTCATATAATCTAATATGATTGTACATTTCATGTATACCAAATCAAAATATGTAAAATATAACAATCCACTTAAGGCCCCTTGTGTATGTAGGATGCAATTTTCTTATGTATTGCATGAAAATATATAGAGGGAACCTATTGGTTGTGGTGTACAACATTGGCTTCCCATTCAGAGAGGGCTGTGAGCTTCATTCCCAGTAAGATATTCATGCAGAACTTTCTGCTTACAGGTGGTAAGCTGGACCTCACCATTCCCCCCATTTCAGTAGTTCAACAAACAGGTTCGGCTGTAGATGCCCTCTACTGGCCATCATTTCATGATCACCAAATTACTTGTGGTAACCATCTTCCCTAGGAATGCCCCTGCCTCAGAAACAGATTCTACTCCCTTGCATAGATGGAGAAAGGCAAGAAAACTAGAGGACACTAGAAACCAATCAGTAATGACTGTTGTTTTTTGTTGTCAGTTAATATTTGTATTGATCTCATTCATCAAAAATAGTCATGGCTTCATAAAATTACGTGAAGCTGCAATGGAAGAAGTATAAATCAGTTAACTGTCATCATATTCATCTATGAATCACGGTGACCCCCAGTCAGCAAATGAGGTGTATTACAAAAGAATATAGACATGAATGGTTTATGATATTACAAATAAGCGATGGATATGCACTGGTATAACTCTCAAACGATTTATGTAATTACTTAGAGAAGTATTTTACATTTCTTCATTGTAATGTAACATTATTTGTGTACATTCAAGTTCACAAATAAATCTGTGATATAACAACAGATTTTATGTAGAAGTGCTGCGTTAGATACTAATATCCAATGCTTGAAATGAGGCACATTTCAAAAACTGTTTCTTGTATGAAGGGTAGGCCTTCTCGGCCCTTGCACCGCAATCTACAGTGGTCTATTGTGCTTAAAACTGTTTCTTACTCTTATGCTTAATAAAATGTGAAATGTGATAGATAGGTTGTTAATGCTTTACAGGCACCATTTTGAAAGTTATTGGAATATTTCATTTGTTAAAAATATTGTAAAGTAATGTATTTTTGAAATATTTAAACACATTAAATTAATTTGCTTCTACTGCCAATCAGAGTCACAAATGAGAAATGGATCCTTCTGAGCCTGTTGTTGAGTGTTGGTTATTGAAGCCACAGACTGCTGCATTACACAACACTGAGGTTGATTTTCAATTGAAACTGATGAACGTCATGAAGAACATCTTGTATAGATGTCAGCATTAACTATTGTAAACAAGCCTGAGTAATCCCAAAGCCAGTCTTGAATGGAGGGGAAAAGAGAAAATTCCCTCTGCCAGGAATGGAAGCCTGGTTGTTGAGTTTATAAACAATCATTTAGTGCCATGATGGAATGTTTGAATTGCACGGAGAATACTGCTAGATTTAAAACAAGGATAAATGCATAATAATGCCCCTTCCCCCTTACCATACACTAATGTTTATCTTATTTTCCATAACCAACTGAAATGTAGCAATGTATATATTGTACTGTCATAGGACATACATGACTAGAGAAGGTTTTAAACAAATAGTTTCTTAAAATGGCGTGGTACACTTCATGTGGATGAAACTGTATGAATGGAAATTGCTATGCTTGGTCTATTGGGAACATCGACTAAAAGCCGTGCTTATATTAGGGAGAGTTACAAAGGGTGCATGTACAATGGATGTCTTGGCACAATTGTAACATATGCCTCAAACCACTTCCCTTGTCTAGCATTACTTTGAATTTGTAACTGTTCTAACCCCACAAGCTTTGGACAAATGAAGTTTGCTAGTGAAGTTGCAATTACTTCCTAATGTTTTGATGTAAACCATATCTCAAGCATTGGATGCGTTTAATACATTGATTATAGATATGAAAATATTGATTGCACAATGAAAATAGTCCATAATACTGCATATTAAGTCACTTCAGATGAAACAATTTAAATATATAAATATGCAGTTATATAAATGGCACGACTTCCCTTGCTCAGTAGGCTAATGTAACAGGGTTGTAAAAACAAGCGGAGAGAATAATACTTATGTGGGACATCTCCGTTACATACAGCTTCACATTGATTCATTCATTTATGCTTCATAAATATGAAAAACAATTTGAAGAGCTCTAAAATCAACATTTTATGTGGTTAGGTGATAGATAAATTATATGTAAAATGCAGATAGTGGCTTCTGGAATATGACGCCGTAGAGTCTGGTAGAAAATTATCAAGTTGGAGGAGGCTGCTACCTTCATTTTTAGGTCAAAACAGTTGAGGAAAAGAAATAGCGTTATAAGAGAGGCAATGGAAGATGTGGCCCCCCCAAGCATGGAGCTAATTATGGGGGGGGGGAAGAGAGGGAGAGAGAGAAAAAACGTTTTGTTGAGCAAGAGAGGCAAGATACATTTTCTGAGAAAGTTGTAAGAGGATAGAGATTGCATGGTACATGGGTTTACTTCCTCTTCAAAACACTTTTTTCCCCCACAATTTTTTCTCTCACTTGGCTCTGACTTTTCTGGAGCCACAGTGTCCCACTGGTCCATTCACAGCCTCATTAAACTTTCCTCCTTTCTTCCCCTGCTGTGTTGCTTACTTTTTAACCTTGAAACTGGAGGGAGGAGGTTCTTCCAAAACGTTGGAACCTTTCTACCAGACTATATGGAGTCATATTCAGAAGACAATAATCTTCATGTTCACCTTCATGAGGTCCTCAATTCTCAAATATCTAAAAATGCTCGTTCTGTTATATAAACACATTGCATATTTTCTTACAAATAAGATCTGTTTAAGATATTTATATCATACATGAAAGACACATAACAATGATTAATACGCTTTTATCATTAAACATTTCTGCAATTCTGAGCGAATTTTAGGCATACTAAATATAGTTATTGCACTGAGTGATGTATCTCATACACTGCATTCTGATTTTCATTTATTCTATAAATGCAGCTATGGTGATAATGAATTTATGATGGTGATGCTTCCCATGAATGATATTGCTGTCCGACTTCTTCCATTGTCTTGCCATATTTCTACCATGACAAAAATATGGTAATAATACTGACATATAAGTAGTATGGCTTTATACATTTTATATTCTCTGTACAAAAACATTCTTTGTAGAATGATTTTTCTTTTGATTGCATTTTCACTACAATTGACATCACTTAAGTAATTTTAATTTTGAAATGGACTGGCTACCCATGGTTAAAATCAACTGCACAAAATTTAAATGTGGATTTTGCCTGCAGATGTAACATGTTGAAAGAAACAGACAGGTAATATGAAGCCAGTATGCAGGAATTAGGACTTTGTGAGGTCCTAAACTATGATGAAGAAGAGGCCTCTAGACTTTTGGCAAAAGGATAAGAATGAAACGCAGAACTGCACAAACAAGTTGGTTGGTATTAAAGGTACACTGAGGAATGATGCCATCATGCAATTAGTTTTCGATTATTGCCACTGTGCTGTTTCCATCATTCTAGTCTGACAGGAGGTAGTCAGTCATTTGTTATATTCCAAGTTTCACAGGAGAATGTTGTGCTGTTTCATCTGTGATTTTTCTTCTTGGAATTTGAAAGCACCGATCCATATTGAGGGGCCCTAAGATGTGTCATATTTAGCTTATATTTACTTGTATGGTCTGGCATTTTTATTCAGAGTGGTTGACTTTAGTGAGAGAGAGGTGAGTTGAAGTTATGTATAGAATGTAATTAATTTTCTGGATAGCTGCTTATTAAAAAGGAAAATAATTATTTTATATATAAAATTGCTTTATAGGGGAGAATATTAGGCGAGGTATTTGAGAACAGAGTGCTGAGGAGAATATTCAGATCTAAGATGGAGAAAATTGAATATTGAGGACCTTTGTAATTTGTACTAAAAAAATAAAGGAAGATGAGATGGATTAGGCATGAAGCACAAATGGAAGGGAAAAGAAATACAAAAAAAAAAAGTTTGGTATAAAAGCATGAAGGAAAGAAATTATTTGGAGGAACTTGGCATAGATGGGAGGATAATATTAAGATGTATGTCATAGAAATTGGATAGGAGAATGTGGAGTGGATTCATCTCACTCAGAATAGGGACTAATGGTAGGTTCTGAGCAACTATTAGCTTCTGAAGAAGGACTGTGCTCCATGGAGTTAGTTAAGAATTTCCTTTTGAGACAGCTTCAACTGCGTTATTTATTTATGATTTATTTAATTATGCTGTTAGCAGCTCAAACTGTGTACTTTTGAACAGGAGAATGCCAAATGAATCTGAACTGAAACGGATGTAGAAGGTATCGCTTGTGGCCTAATTTGAAGTACTATCACATAATGTGCATGGAAAGACTGAGGTGAACCATGAAAACTTCAGTTAGGATAGGCAATCTATAGGCAAAGACTTGTAGCTAGGACCTCCAGAATATGTAACAGGAGTCATCAACACTTTGACTGTGGTGTCTAGTTTTGATTTTGGTGGAGATTATTTATCTTGTCTGTTAGCATGTGATGACAGAGGTTTGGAGATGCTATTCTCCAATTTATATACGAGGACTGACTGAAACTGAAAAAGAGGCAAAATTTCTGTGTGTCTAGCAATTTGTGTTGTTGGTCGTGCCATAGCTCAAATGGTTAGTTGCTGGCTTCCCACCATGACGGCCCGGGTTCGATCCCTGGTGTGGTCAAGTGGGATTTGTGGTGGACAAAGTGGCGCTGGGGCAGGTTTTCCCCGAGTACTTCGGTTTCCCCTGCCGATCTTCATTCCACCAAATTCTCCATCATCATACTCACCCAGGGCAGGTACAATAGGCCAATCAGTGGCAGCCGTGCCAAGTGGACCCAGTTGGACTCCACCACCCACTAAGAGAATTAAATAAAATGTGTTGTTGACTACAAGCTGGGTGTACCAAATGTTGATTTGGCATGATATTTTTAAGCACATATTTTACTTGAAATTCTGCCCAACATAAATATGCATATTTAAATAATAATATATTATTTTAATGCTTTAATATAATATCTAAACCTTTAAAGCACAATGCTTACTGTACAGTGACTTCTACAAATTAATATATTTAATAATTTTATAATTTACACACAAGTTTTTTTACATACCTGTATATTTAAATTTTAAGTTTAAGATGAATAAAAAAACACAGTTTCACTAAAATACATGTGCTGTATCCTGGTGATAAGCTTTAAGATCAAAACATGTAGGTATAAGTTATAGTATGTGTAATAGTATGCAAGGTTATGTGAGCTCTTGTATATTTATACTTAGAGAAGTAAATAATTGTAATGTGTGTGAAATTTCTTTATAAGGGAAGAATATTAAGTGAGGTGTATGAGAACAGGGTGCTGAGGAGAATATTCAGATCTAAGAGGGCGAAAATAACAGTAAGCTCGAGAAAATTGGTACTTCCTTAAACAGTACTAATTGTTTTTTTTTTTTGTAATTGAGCTGCAGCATGTTTGCTGTGAGGTGGGAAATGAATTATTAAACAATATTTAGATAACTTTCATGTTTCCAAGAATCAACACATTTAAAAGTCAAGAAATAAGAAGTCTGATTTTGGAGTGTAGAAATATTTCAGTTATGTTAAATTCACTAATTTCTAAGTATATTAAAACATTTTAAAAGCAAATGGCACATTAACTATCTGTTATAACATGTTACATTGCAGGTTATCCAACAGTGAAGTTTCGACACATTACGAGAATTTAAATTGAGATTGTGGCTATGGAAAACGTATCCATTCATGAATACCAGAGTACATCGGTATTAACATAAAGTATTAAAAAATCATGACACATATAAAGCACTTAAATATATAAGACAAAGATATACAGAGAAGTTATAAGATCATTGGTTGCACAACGAGATAAAGAAATTACTATTTTCATGACATCACATACACACACGCGCTAGACACATTTATTTGTACAACGCATTCACCGTAGTAAAGCTATGGTGCACTAAATATCACTAACCACTTACTGATCCTGCAGTTTCTTTAATTCTAAAATGTTTTCCTGGTGTACATTATTTTTTGTTTAAGTTCTGCACTACCCCAACGCACATTCAGCTTTCTACTAAACATTACTATACATGCTATACAAAATGAGAGCTATTTGATTTGTCCTTTTTTGAATCAATCATTTTGAATATTAAAGCTCTTTCCGAAGTCTTTCTATTGTTGTGTTGAAAAAGAACTGTTTATTTTTATACAACAGGGTAGAGATTACGACAGTTGAAGGGTAATTGTCCTGTGAGAGTTTTGCTGTGCCCCGGAGCTCTTCCATCTGGGGCATATAATATGCTTCACTTTGTTAGTAGTTCTGTTTTTGATGTGCCCCATTCTATCACATCCAATCTATCTTTCAGTAAGGCACACCAGAAACCCTCCTTGTTTTGCATTGTAAGATCTGTTTGGTGATGCAATCCCCAGGCATGTCCTTCCTAAGGCACACAAGTAGTTCTTATTGGATATCAAAACAGAGTAGCAATTATCTTGAAGGAAGGCACATCAGAAATCTGGGGCCAATAACGTACCTTTGCAGCATGGCACCTGGTACAGCTATGTGTAGGCCACAAGCTATCACAGACTGAATTCTACTGAACTAAATCCATAAGGAACTGAGATACTGCAATTGTCCTTGTGTTCCTATGAAGTTTTTATCCAAAAACTTTGCTATAAAATCCTACAGTTACACTGGGTTATTACTTTTATGCAACATTATACATTTCCTTATCAAAAGCAAATGTTTTATATTCATTTAAAAGGCTGCTGACCTCTAGTTTATCTATATACATCAGCAAAGATACACATGACTTACTGTTGCCCATACCATGTACCATGTAGTGCAAATGTGTGTAGTTGACCTAGGTTAATCAGATTCTGCTAGGTTCGGTCCCCAGGACAGTTGCCACTCTGCGTGTATCATTGTGCCTCAAACTATCCTGCAATGGGGCACATTATAAGCACGTCTCAGTCATCTGGGTCCATTCCAATGAGCTCCCCCTGGAGACGCCCTTTGTAGCGACAGCATAACGTTAGGCAGAATATCCGGAGCGCAAGTCTGAACTGAGGGCTCAGCGCAACAAGAATTATCCCTTTCCAGAATGAATTGAGAATTCCTAACCAAACAATACCGAAATGCAGGAAAGGTATTTGGAACTTTGTTCCTGTGAAATATTCGTAGAGTTTCACGCCTGCATAGGGCGTCCACGATAACCAGAAAGCGACGACCAGTACGAAAGACATGAGGTGACTAGGATTAGAGAGGTTTTCCGAGAGTGCTGTAGCATACTCTTTATCGTGAATAGGAACCCCGCTGCGAAGTTTGCGCATCATGGAGAAGATATAGAAATAGGTGTAGATGATGGTGATGAGGCTTGGGCCAAGCACCAGAATGGCTACAGTCACGGAATAAGCGGCCATATTCCCCCAGTCGAGCATACAGATATATGCATCGCGATCAAATACCGGCTTGTTGAAGCCGAGGAGAGGCGGACAGCACAACATGGCCGCTGAGATCCACGTGAAGGCCATCCAACACTGACACCGCGTCTTAGTTTGCACCGTTTCGTAGCGCAGTGGCTTGCGGATGGCCAGGTAGCGATCTACGCTAATCCACATGAAGGTGAATACACTGACGCTCCACAGGGTGACTTCCAGGTAGCCTACCAGGCGACACACCACGTCACCATACACCCACTGCTGCACGATAGCTGAGTACACAGACAGCGAGACCACCAACATGCCGCACATGAGATCGGCCACGGCCAGCGACAACAGGTAGATGTTGATCACTTCCGAGGGGCCTGCAACATAAAAGTTATGTGGTTGAGTAAGACGTTGCCTCTAAGCTGGGGAAGCAAGTGCACAAGGCATGACGTCGTCTGAGCTGCAATTGGGTTGGCTTGGGCAAGGTGGTGGGGAGCGATTTTCTGAGAAGGCCTATAATAGACATTAAATTTATAAGATACCAAAGTAACCAAAAATTAGAGTTTATTTTTTCAATTTTATTTGTTAAAATAAAAGTAAAGCTGTCCCTGTAACAGCCCGTGGAGGCCCAAAGGGTTGTGAGACGCCTAGGCTCTTACATTTTCTAGACAATCGGCTCACAGATGGAGGTGAGGTCAGCATTACGCGCCGGCCGCCTTTTACCCCGCAGGAAGATTCCTGGTACTCATTTCTGTTAGAATCTTAGGCGACCCCAGGGCCATAGTGAGCCTGGAAGGATTTGGTCAATTGAAAAATCCAATGAGCTCATCGGGATTCGATCCCGCGACATTCCGGATTGTAGCATAGTGCCTCAACCAACTACGCTACCGCGTGCCCCCAATTTTAATTTTATTAATTCAAATTGACTACGTGTAATCAGAAAAAAACTGCAAGGGGACTCAGGCGCTTGCGCGATCAAGGAACATTATTCAGAAACATAAGTGTCCGGCTTCCCACCGCGGTGGTCCGTGTTCGATCCAAGGTCATGGCAAATGGGATCTATGGTATATAAAGTGACACTGGGGGCAGGTTTCCCCTGCGAGTTCACATTCCATCAAATGCTCCGCACTTATCTACGTTTATCATCTGGGGCAGTTAGTGGCCGACGTACCAAGTGGACTCAGTGTCACCCGGCCCCACAAAATTGAAACAAAAATGAGTGTCCTGAACAGATAACAGGACCTGTTTACCAAAAGTGTAGACCCTAAATTCTATAGTAAGGATTAGTACAGTTCCTCATCTCTTCTCCCATTATGTTCGTTCAGGATATGGAATTTTGGGTTCACGGAAATTATGAAACATGACCATAAAACCGAACAGGTTGGTCCTTAGTTTGTAGTATTGCATTTTGGCTGGGACATCTCTTCTCATTGATGGTTTATGTGATTTTCCTCAGTCCTCCCAGAGACATTTTTATGCCCCTTATTATATCTACGCGGTAGCGTAGTTGTTTGAGGAATTTTGCTACAATACCGAAGGTCGCGGGTTCGATTCCCGATGAGGTTATTGAATTTTTCAATTGACCTAATCCTTCCAGCTGCACTATGCCCTTGGGGTCAAATCAGCCTTTAACAGAAATGAATACCAAGAATCTTCCTGGGGGTGGGGTAAAGGGCGGCCGGCGCTTAAGACTGACCTCACATTCATCTGTGAGCGAATTGTCTAGAAAATGTGAGAACCTCGACGTCTCACAACCCATGGTTCTCCATGGCCTGTTACAGGGATAGCTTTACCTTTTTACTATTATTTCTGACGTGTAAGAAGTGTGATTTATTACGGCTGTGAACAGAAAAAATTTCTTAGGAATGCATATCCATTTATAATGTGAGAGTTAATAGATATACAAGGTATACACAAAAGAATGGCGCGGTTTCAAAAGTTAATAAAAAATTTATTTCTCAACTTACACGGGCACAAAGCGGCCTCCGTAGTCTAGGGGTAACGTTCCCACCTCATGACTCAAGGTACGCGGGTTCAAACCCGGCGGAGGTCGTGGAATTTTTAAGGGCGGAAAAATTCAGGGAACAAGTCCTCCGGGAGGGACTTTAAGTCGTGGGTCCCGTGTCGTAGATTTACGGCACGTAAAAGCTCCTCATGTCTCTAGGAGACCTCTGAGCAAAATTAGGCAAAAAGTTTCCCGCCCAAGTAGTTTCCAATGCCT